CCAAATAGCATTTATTATATAGTAAACTGAAACACAAATAAAGGTTTACCTATAGCATAGGTTCTAACCACAATAAAATGATTAAAGGAGCATTGCATATGCAAAATTGAACCATACATTACAAGGAAAGCTTCTTATCTCATGTCTTTCTATGGAGTCTTTAGATTACACTTGTAAAATTGCTGTAAAAGTTAAAATATGGTTGAACTGTTTCATTAGCAAAGCCTTCAACATTAACTGATCTTTAACAAAAGAACACTACACTATCAAATCCATTACATTTATGAGTAACGACAAAGACACAAAAAGCTATAATTAACAGAGGGCAAATTAAAAAAAAAAAATATTACTTTAGAAATACTTCCTGCTCGCAATTAAGCATGAAGTTCTTCATACTCCGTTCATTAGTGGAAATTAGTCACTAGCTATAGGTATTGGTCTTCAATGCCATATTATAAAGGGAACTGTTCATTATACATTAAAATGTCATAAACTCACAACCATATTACACAACTTACACAAATATCTGTTTTGGAAAATCAGACAGACCACCTTGGAAATCTCCCATTGCTTCCACTGACCCGACCCTGAAGATGATAGCGATGCCTGCTTCCCTTGCACTGCAGTACTGATGGGATGTCATCAGATCACATCCACCTAGTGCACTCAATGCTGTGATGGAGAGCAAGAGGGGATGGCAATCTCTACAGGCCACTTGATCTAAACTAGGGAACCTACCTATGTCAAAAAGGTAGGTAAGTTGGCTAAACATTTATAGTACGGTGCATATTTTTGGGAGTGCGTGTCTAGGAGTAGTGTATGTGTATGGGAGTGAGTATGTCTGTGTATATATCTATCTGTGTGTAAGTGTCTGGGTGTTTTCATGTCTGATTTTTCGTCTGGGAATTCCTATCTACATATTAGATTTCTATATAGTGAAAACAAATTTGGTTTAGCTGAATTGATTGGGCAACAACAAAATTTGGTTTGGTTGAGGATTCATATTGTGATGTTTCAGTTTGGACAAATTTTGTCCATGTGATCAATTCAGAAAAACATTTTGGATGAACTAAAAGCACTTGAAAATGGACAATCAGTGTACTCCAAACTATATACATAATATAAATAATAATAATAATAATAATAATAACAACAACTATTTAACCAGGGAGGCTACATTCAGATTACTCTGGTTTTCAAGTACATCCTGTGGATGTTACCATAGCCCAAAATCCAGGGATTGTTACTATTACCAATCCCTGCCGAGATTTGAACCTGTGACCCAAGGGTTGAAATAGTATGTATATATGTTACAATACACTGATAGGTGCATTTTCCCACAATTTGGTTCATAGATTAAGTGAGATGAAGTAACTAATAGCGGAAAAAAGGAGGAGCAGTAAAAAAATACATACATATATATTATTTATTTATGAAATATACAATATATAAACAAAGACATTTTATTGTTCTTCCCTTTTTCCCCTCTATTGACCACTTCACATTTGGTCTGTGAATAAAATCCCATTTAGTGGCTGTCCTCAAACAATAAATCACATTTTTACCATGAATCATCTTTTTCTTTCATGCAACGGTTGGAACTTCGAATCACAAAACACAAAACTGTTCATCCATTTAGTTTGTTTTGTGATACACAATTTGATTGACACCAAATACACAAGCCTACTATATACATGTGATGCAATAAAATATATAAATTAATATGGCACATTGTATATAATATTAATCTTAGAGTAGAAAATTCTACTGAAATCTCTCTTCAAACTATATATCAAAGCAGACAAAACGAGGTAGCGATAATAAAAAATAAAATGATGAAAAAATAGAATAGAAAAATAACTCCTCAATATAACCTTGTACAAAATTTGATAGATGGCAACTCTAAGGGAGAATAAAAAACACTCAAATAATACAAAAATAAAATGACAATCTCAGTTCATGAGTCCAAAAATATCAGTTCTCACACTTAGACAATCTGTAAATAATTTACTAGGAGGTGTAAAAAGGATACAGTTCCCTTATGATACAAAGTATCTGCTATTATTTTGTTGTGTTTGTGGATACAGTCTCTAAATCCAGTATATACTGTATTTCCACCAGAGTGAAAACTGACTTCCATAACAGTAGTAGAATTTTTCAAGGAGTGGATATCCATTGAACAGTTCTTACCCTTCAAATGACATAACACATCATAGTGTAATACTGTTTATTAAGGTAAATATTAAAAACAGACAAATAAATACCGCAACAGTGTAATTACTTAGCTTGCTCCTAAGACTTACAAAATGTGCACAATTTAGAGATAGCAGATGTAACCTAGCTGCATCAATAATCCCCATGCTCATCTCAAACCTATTTTCAGGGTAAAGAGTTTGAGATCAAAATATGTTTAATCTCCAATAGTAGAGAGTGTGCTCAATATTTAGTGCTTACAGTGATAGGTATAATAGCAAGTCTAAAACACAAATGTGGTAATACCCTTTTCCACATAACACCAAAATGATACTGTAAAGGTGATATAAGTGATACATTTATACACAATAGTGGAGCATAATAGATGCAAAATAAAATGATATAATCTGCTTACCCTTATATTGGGATACAACCAGAATGGGTAACACATATGTAAAAGCGAATACAAAAGCAAATATATTGCAAATTATACTTATTTTATATGTGCATATAAATGATGTCATGGGTTGACAAAATTATCACTAGAAACCGATGGTTTTTTGTTGTTTTTTTCATTTACTTAATCTTTCATATCCCTAGCAAAGTAGAAAATGGATAGGGTATGTTTAATACTGTTTTTTGTATATCCAGGATTGAATATTATTTATCTTTATTACAATTGATACACTTGATTTGCCTTACCTAATATATATTTTTTTCTTTGCTCTTTTCCCTACAAACAAATGGCTCTTTGTGTCTAGTGTGGGCAGATTGCACTTGTTGTTGATAAAAGCTGGACCGTGGGGCAGAAGGGACATGCTGCGACCATGGTTAGGTATAATTCTGCCAACCATTAAACCACCAATAAGCCACCAATACACCAACGTGCCGGGTGTGACACAGCATCCCTTCCACCAGCCAAGGCTAGTTTCTAGAGATAATTTTGCCAACCCCTGAACCATCAATGAATTTTAGGTATTTTAAAGGTGAAGGGGTGTGCCTGGGTTGTACTAACACCGAACTACTAATAAAATTGCACATTATTAAAGGGGCATATAAGCACCCATAGGAATTATGGATTGAACGGACTGATTGGACAATTACCTAAGGTGATGGAGTACCCAAAACCAGCCATGATTGACTGATGAGCACATGTGTTTTGGAGGGAAGACCTAGCTTACATTTAAATATGGTGGAAATCAAACAATGAGCTTCCTCGCTGACTGAGGAAGCTCATTGCTTGAGGGAAATGCATTTTGGCAACTAAAGGACATTTTTTTTTAGCAAGTGCAGTATTGGATTTTATTTTACCTATATATGGTCATTGTTTTATTTTATTTTTAAATTTGGTTAATAGAGTACACTTATCTTTTTCCTGTGGAGTTCCAGGAACCTTACTAAGGGGTTAAGTGACAACCCTCCATATTTTCACCAGGCTAATTTACTTCAGAGCCAAGGCTTAATGGATCTGGACAAAGTGAGCTCGATATTTGGCTTTACTATTTGTAAGATCTGTTTTTGAGAACTATGTGGCAAACCTAGCCACTTTTAGATCACATTGCTGTACCTGCAAAGGTTGTCTGTACAAGCCGCTGGACTGTTGTATTCCAATGTATGCCTGTAATGTTATACCATAGAGCATTCGTATGCTAGCAGCCGAAAGCCGCTAGCATTCATATGTTCGTTTCACGAACAGGGACTTTACCTGCTGTTCGTGAAACGAATAAAGTACCGAACAGGAGCCCACCTCTGGGCTTCCAGGCTGTTCGGGAGCACCGGTATTTCAATATTGTTTTTCCCCATCGGTGTTCTGTACTTTCAGGTGAACGTGATGTGAAAGTGTATTTCGTGTGGCGTTCGGTTATTTATGCTGGGATCTGAGCGGGATTCTCACGAAAGGTGCGCTCAGACCACAGCTATCTACCGAACGGTCGTTCGGTAATATAAGACGAATAATGTACAAGTTATGCATTTTTATGTAAAATGTTAGTTCTGCTGCCCGGAGGGATAATCCACTTAACGGGATATTTCAGTGGGAGTATCCCTCCTTGGCAGCAGTGCCTGATGTGAGAAATGTCCAGATTGTTAAGTCCCCCATGTAATAACCTCTGAAATGTCAGTAGGGAAACCCCTTGCATGGGGACTTGCATAAATACTCGGGGATTTGGGATATTGCCTTACTTTTCAGCGCTTTACTTTGGATTACCTTCTGTACCAGCGGAGATCTTGGGATTTAATATTGCAGCTCCTCTACAAACTACACTGTTGGTTTTCCTTTATCCCTGTGTTCTAATTTGAGGTACATCTCTATCAGAAGAGGGTTGTGTTGCTGCCCTAAGAGAACAGAAGTGCTAATTATGGAGCCAAGAGAATTAGGCTACAGTCCATGTGAGTGGATCCTGTTATCATTCATAAAGAGTGAACCCCTCAAAGCATAATAGATAGCATTCATTTCATATAGTATGAAATATAGTATGAAAGCATAATCTATAGCAACCATTTCACAAGAGCATTTGATCATGCAGGGTTATGCAGGGTTATGCAAGTACTGGTTATAACATCATTAACACTCACCAATAATAAACAATAAAAAAATTATATAAAATACAAACAATTTACTTTGCATACGTGCTTTACAAAATGATTATTTCTCCTACAAATACATAGGCATATGAAAATAACTTAAACACATACACTGGTGAGCCACAGCATTAAAACCACTGACATGTGAATTGAATATTACTATTATTATTATTACTAGTGATGTCCCGAACGGTTCACGAACGGTTCGCCACGAACGGTTCGCTGCGGACTCATCATTCCAGCCAATCAGCAGCAGACCCTCCCTCCCAGATCCTCTCACCTCCTGGACAGCATCCATTTTGAAGCTGCATTCTTAGTGAGCTGTCCAGAAGGTGGGAGGGTCTGGGAGGGAGGGTCTGCTGCTGATTGGCTGGAATGATGAGTCCGCGGCGAACCGTTCGGAGAACCGTTCGCGAATCGTTCAGGACATCACTAATTATTACTATTATTATTAATATTATTGCCATTTATATAGCGCCAACAGAATATCTGATCATATTATTACAATGGTACCTGTCAAGGGATGGAAAATTTTAGGCAGCAAGTGAACAATCAATTCTTGAATTTCATGTGTTGGAAGCAGGAAAAATGGGCAAGCAAAATGATCTGAGTGACTTTGACAAGGATCAAATAGTGATGGCTAGACACCTGTGTAAGGGCATCTTTAAAACAGAAAGTCTTGTGGTGTGTTTCTGAATGCAGTGGTTAGTACCTACCAAAAGTGGTGCAAAGAGGGACCACTGATGAACCAGCAGCACAATCTTGGGTAGTATTTTTTAAGACTATCCTATAGCATACACACTGTGCAGTATTCATTTATCAATTTTATTACATTACAAGTTAATTGTTTTACTGTTTTATAGTGCCGCCAGTTTGATGCATATGTGTGTGTATATGTCTAGTAGAGTAGCCTTTTATTTTGTTTCATTTCCTCATTATTCTTTTGGTGAAATAGTGGGGAAATTGGATGTTTTAGACACTACACCATATCCATTATCTTGCACTATTTCACACAGAGTCTGTAATGTTTGTGTACAATCAAAACTATTTTGCTACAAGGAAGTTCGTTCACTACTCTCCAAATTGCTGTGAATTGAAATCCTAATTAAAAAATGTATACTAACATAGCTAATTTTTAAAAATGATACACTCAGATATAGTCTTTGCTGTTTTAGAATCAAAATAATTTATCAAATTGTTTATTATCAATACATCTTTGTAAAACACACAACATAATTTAAAAATAAAATTTATATTTGTGTATACACACAGTAGGGTCCGATAAATCACCTGTTAGCAAAATACAAGGATTTCAAAATTAATTTGGTAACCTGTACCTGTACACAGTCCTCCTAACCCCCCGCCCCCTCCCATACCCCATCCACCACACACACACACACACTCCTTTTAAAATACACCAACAAAGTGTGTGTTGAAGCTTTCCTTGCAGTGTAGGAGGATGGGGATAAGTTCATTTGCAGGCCATTTACAGATATTCAAGAGGTCAAAATAAAGCCCTCAGCCCTGATAGAGAAATACATTTCTCTCCAAGCTGAAGATCATTCTTGAAGCATACTTTACAATTTAAAATGAATTTAAAATGTGGGCAAATGGTTTTGTGAGTTAACAGGTTAAGCTTCTATTGAGATCCCAATTTATGATCCCAACAGCTTCAATCAATCAAAGTCTTAATCTATTTTGATGTTTTCCATTATTTTAATTGAGAGACAGAGGTGAAACTTAATATCTTTGTCAGTGGTATTTGTTAAAGTATATCATTATTGATATAGATATTGACTTAAATGAAAAGTCTTTTTATAAACAAATATACACGATGATTTAGCAAAATCAATATTTGGCTTTATTTCTCTTTGGTGCTTATTAAACTAAACAGTGAATTACTGTAAAGCAAAATTAATTTTTTTCTAAATTTAGGCCACGATGGCTGTTATAATATTTTTCTAATTCTAACTTGGTCATTTTAGCATATTGTAGGATTTTTTCTTAAGTTATTTTTTATTTAAACTAACATCTAAAAAAACTTAAAAATACACACAGAAAATTATAAACTTTCCAAAAAAGTAAAACAAAATAATTAAATTCAGTTACTAATCATAAATTTAGCAATTTTGCAATCATAAAAAATATTTTGCAGTTTAAAATGTTGAATTATTGGTCAAAGATCATCAGTTTAATATAATAAAAAAACAGTCAGTGTTTATTACCATTGCTATAAATTTTACAGTTGAAGTTGAGTATGCTGAATTTTTCATTGGTATTCATTATATTTTTATTAGTCATGGTGAATGCAAATTTATATTTATTTATGTACTGTAGCAGTCATAATGACCAACAGGTCAAAGTAAAAGGTTAATTAATCCACATTTTACAATTTAGCAAGATCTTATCCTCTGGAGAATTAACTGTACTTAATATATATATTTTAGAATAAGAGTGAAAGTTAAAGAATACTGGATCTTTCTTATAATTGGTTTCAAAATTACAGTGATAAGAAAGTCAACAGTAGATATATTTCTTCATGTTAAATGTACACTATAGGATCCCAGACCACTTCATTTCAATAACATAGTCTGGGTGCAGGGCCCCAGGCATTTTAGCCCTCCAATCTAAAACATTGCCATTTAGTACATACATCAATGGTATGAATGTCCTCCTGGGCATTGGAAGCATTTGGTTTGATGCATGTGTGACACTTGACACACATGTGCTTCTCTTCCAATTTTGAAAGACCTCCAGGATGTGTGTGCACTTTTCCCTTTTAATCCTTGCAAATGAGTATCTAGTGTATAACAGAGCTGTTAATAGTCCTTTTCTGTAAATGATTAAATACTTTTTGTTCATATGTCACTGCATTGTCTTTCATGTTACTATAGCTTTGTAATATGGTTGAAGGAAATCTAAAAATTATTGACTAATGGTCAATAAATACATTGACATTCACATACACTATGCCTAAAGTGCTACTAGTAATATTTATGAGCACACTTTAAATTCTTTAAATTTAAAGGCAAAGAAAGTGGTACTAAATATTATGACACAATAACTAATACAAGTATGAATAAATATTACATACCAAATGTTCACAATAAAAGTTCAAATATCCAATAAAATTATATAATCTATTTGCAATATCCCCACTTAAATAAATTAACAGCAAAGCCATGGATATTCTTTGTGCTATACCCAATCAAATTACTGAACTTTACCTGTTTCACATCTTGGATAAATTTAATAGAATGTCACATGTTAAGGCCAATGTTAAAACAGTGCCCATTGCTAAGAGTATCTGATGAAATACAGTTTAACGTCTAAAACTGTGATGCCTTTCTGTGCTCATTTGCATGTTATGCTGGGAACTCTGGGATAGTTGTGGAAACATGATCTTAAGTTTCTATGAAGGACCTCTCAATGTCCAACTTGAGATACACTGGTGATGCATAACAATAGTTTTTGTAAGATCGATGTGAAAAATGTAAAGGCAGCTGAGAAGTTGCCTCCTCATTCCTCTCATGATGCATGACAGTGTAGGGAGACAAAAAAAGACTAGTTACATTGAAAGGGAAATTAAGGGGTCATTTTTTTTTCTGTTTTCAGCAGGCAGATGATGAGTGTTTATTCTTAGTTACATTACATTGAACTGGAAAGGTTAATGATGTGTTTTGTTTTTTAAGTAAAGTTAATCAGCCCCAAATGTGACATGGGTTTAATTAATCAATCTGCTAAAATCACACGTCTCTTTCTGTGTTCCTAATTTTACCCAATAGAGTCCCACTAAAGTCCTGTAATATGTGAGTGAAAAAATATATAATTTTATATAGAGAGAAATAAAAATACTGTTAAATTTGTCAGAAATTGGTGATGAAATGGGTATGTGGAGAGACTAAAAAATGACAAGTGTGAAATATTTCAGGGTGCCGTAACAGTTGTGGCAAGGGCTGCAATTTTCCTCATATTTGACATGAGCTCAGTAAATCAATTCATCAAAATTGCAAGTGCAAATTTTAAAATGGGTAGATGTCTAATTAGGCTCTACAACTTTCCCTTAAAGAATGAGAATCTACAATTGGGGCTGCTGGTTTATTCAGGATATGTAGCTGAACCTGCCGTATATGTTTGCTACATTAACCCCTCAAAAATATAATATGCAAAGTCGCACAAAATGCAGTGTTATGCTTAAGTACTTATGGAAAACAGCATCAAAAATGTTAACCAAAATAATAATTTGTTACCCATTGCATTGATAACAATATATATATGAACTTGTACTCAATTGGTTAATAGTAAGTATTACATGGAGAATTAAAAGTAACATAATTAATCATTAATTATGAAAAAATACTTAAATCTATTTCAGCCATTCATACGCAGAACCAGTTCCTACCATATGAAAATACCATAATTAAATATATTTCCCAATGTGTGCATCAACAGGCATCTTCTATTCTCTAGTTTGAATAGTTCATTCTTACAAGAGATTTAGATTTTTTAGATATTCAATGTGCAAATTTAGACTCAGGAATATGTTAACTGGATGTGGACTATACATAAATATATATATGTGCTAACTGGATGTGGACTCAGCCTATACATAAACATATATATGTGCTAGCAATCATTATGTCAGTTATAATACTTAATAGATTTATAGCACTTTACAATTTTGCATATGTTTGATGTTTAATTTAAGTAAATGAAACCAACCTTCAATATAAGTCTATTGCTCACATTGATTTAAAAATATATATTTTACAATCATTTAGATCTTTTTTATCTTATATCTGAAATGCTGTATAATATAGAACTGCAGTTTTGATGCGTTCTGATATTGTTCTAGTATATGTCCACATGATAATAATTTCTATCTTTTAGTTTGTATTACAAAAAAATCATAAGGATTTTTATCAGAAGAGTCATAAGATTTGGTATATGACTTTGTAGCTTGCTCAGTCATAAATATGTCTGTCAATGTAATGCAATCTGTTAATTACATTAGTAGGCAATTAGCACATTTCTAATCATATCATCAGCTCATAAGACTTGCCGTATACCTTAATTTCTTAATTAATTAGTGTTCAAACTTATGAATGAAGCTATCATGATGTGCTATGTCTCGTGCAAGATTTCTAAACTTGTCCTAATATATATATATGGAAGTAGTACAGCCTTATATTTTAAAATGTTCTTACTTCAGATGAGATGTTTTCCACAATTGGATCTCACCACAAATGTAATAATAGTTAGTCTGATACTGTAAGAGAGATTATAAAGTTGAGCAAAAGTTGGCATCATACTGATTAAGTTCCATGGGGTGAATATGTAAATTCTTAATTTGGGCATTGATTCACCTAGATCGTAACTTGTGCATT